GGGGTATGTTTTGGTACAGCAGCCAATAAAATATGACTGGTATAAATAGAACAGGTTTATTTTTGATCAAATGCCATCTCCAACACATGTGAACCACTAAGGATGGACGAGGGTGCTTTACTCTTGGCTTGTCACAACAGACAAAGGTGAAAAAACAAAATGGTATCTGAAAACCTCAACTCGAGCTTTTGTGATTATTCTGATTTATGATCACTTGTAAGTTGGCACCAATCAACAATATTTGAGGCTAAAAGAAATACATTTTGGTAATTAATATTTCCCTTTTCTTGAAAAAAGCAAGGTCCTCTTCATCTCAGAATGAATGTCCTTTTCTTTAGAAAGCAAGGTCCTCTTCATCTTATCTCTTCTTGTTTGATACCAAAATGATTATAGAAACGTATATATTCTACCTTCTGAATTAATCTTCCAGAAAAGAATAAACTTGGACCTTATAAAGAATCCTACATAGACAAGGGCTTCATAAATCAAACACATTAACAGAAGCTGAATAATTTTTCAACTCTGTTCAAAGACCTTATATTTATCAGTTTAAAAAGTTGTGTTATTGGTTTGTGTATTATGCATATTCAACCCTTGCAGTAAAATGATGCTGAATTAATGTCTAACCCTCAATATCCTATTAAAAAAAAAGGTCAAGTCAACATCAATTTACCTATCACGTAAGTATATGTCTTTTCTTCAAAGATTCATTAGAAACTGACAGAACATCTTGTTGAGAAATAAACATACTTTTTGAATGGAAACTGACAACTCCCTTTGACTTTCTCAGCAAAATGAGACTCTAGGAAAGTTTCCTTTCTGCCTGATGCATTTCACTTAAATTTTTGAATGATTATTCTCTTGTAACCAAAACACATTTTTTCATGTGCTTATCTATCCAATCTATCATGCTGTTATACTCTCAGAACCAATGTGGGGCTGACTGAACAAGGTAATAAATACTGTGAATTTATTTATGTTAAATCCAATTAATCATTGAATATATGCAAATGGATGAAACAAGCTATTTCCCTTACATAAGTTTGCTAAAAATCCAATCAGACCATGAATACTGGAAACACTGATTAGTCTACATGCCATACTACAAATATCTGTTCACATTCCTCCATCTTCTCAACTCTCAAGACTACTAAGGACAAAACTGTGGCTGTAATTCCTCTGGTTCTTTTTACAAAAGAGACATAACATAACCCTTAACAGGGTCCAAGTGAACTTCTTATGGTAAGTAGAGCCATGTGCTGCTTAATGATGGGGATATGTGCTAAGAAACATGCTGTTGGCCATCGTGTCATTGTATCACAGAGCATACCTAACAAACCCAGGTGGCACAGGCCATGCCACACTTAGCTCTAAGGCACAGCCTGTTGCTCTGAGGCTAGGAAACCCATGTGGCACATCAGTGTACTGCTTGTTGACAACTGTAACATGCTGTAGGTATTTGTATATCTACATGTACCCAAACATAGAAAAGGTACAGCAAAAATACTGCATAAAAGATAAAAAAAATAATAATAATGGCACACCCATGTAGGGCAATTACCATGACTACAGCTTGCAGGACTAGAAGCTGCTTTGGGGTGGGCAGGTGAGCAGGGGTATGAAGGCCTAGGACAGTACTGTACTTCCAGAATTTGTAGAATTAGGCTACACTAAGCTAATAAAATATATTTTTATTTCTTCAATAAATTAACATTGGCTTATTGTAACTTTTGTTTTTTTATATGCTTTTTTTATTCTTTTGCAATAACATTTAGCTTAAGAAAGAAACACACTGGGAAGCCATACAAAAGTATTTTCTCTCTTAATGTCCTTATTCTAGAAACTCTTTTCTATTATTATTATTATTATTTGCATCTTTTAAATGTTTTTGCTCAAAACTAAGACACACATGAGCCCAGGGCTACGAGGGTTAAGGACTGTCAGTATTACTGTCTTCTGCCTCCACTTTCTGCCCCACTGGAAGGCCTACAGGGGCAATAGCACATATGGGGCTGTCCTCCGTGACAGCAATACCTCTCTGGAGCACCTCGTGGAGGACCTGCTGAGGCTCTTAAGAATCAGGTCTCACTCCTTTCAGAGACATGTCCAGGGCGGTTAGCTTGGTTTGTTTCTGGTTTTCTTCATGAATCTATTTGCTTGCAAGTAGACAGTGCATCATGAGCATTCCTCCCTATTAATGAGAACCATCTTGTGTACCATGTTTTCAAACTTTTAAAGGAGCTTGTTGAGGTCTGCAAAAGCTTCTGCTAAACTCTTCACTGTGATTTCCCTGGGGTTTCTTCTCCTGTAGTGTTTTTTTCCTCATGCATTCTCTTCAACTGTGCATTCACTCTGCAACAGGGATTTGTTTTCATCTGAGAAAAACACCTACAGCAGGACAGAAATGTAACTGGAGTTTGCCTGTAAGAATCACTAGAACTGAGTAGTGGTGAAGGACTGCGTATAGAGTTCAGGAAAGCTGAAACACACAGCAAGTCACTCCACACACAGACACCAGCATGACTGGGGGTCCTCTGGAAGCAGCCCAAGATCACACCAAGCTGCAGGTGCAGCAGGCCTGTCAGGCCATCACTCCTCCAGTCCAGAAAGGAGGGCTCTTGGCTCTTTTGCTGTTTTGTCCCTGCTCTCCAGTCACAGGACACTGTGCCTAATTAAGCCAATTAGTTGCTCTCTGCCTTGGGAATTCAGAACTGACTAAAGTGTACTCTCTGCCTGTACTGGTCCCCGGAGGTGAGCAAAGCCATTCAGGAGGTGTACAGCAGCCACTCTTCCCACACACTGAGGAGCACACAAGCCACTTTCAGGGCAAAAGGGGAAGTGGCTGCAAAGATTTTTAATTCTGTCAAAATTTCTGAGAAAAAATTACTTTGTATTGACAATAACCAGTACTTATTTTACTGACCATATGCAAAAACTCTTGTTAGGATGATAACTAGTGTGCAGGTAAGGTTCAAACCAGTTTAAAGTTTAGGCAAAGGTATTAGGAAGGAAGCCAATTATAGAAAATTGAACACTGATGAATAATAATAGGGCCATAATAAGAAATGTGTAAAAAGTTCTTCACATCAAACTCATCTATTCTTCATAAATGAGCACCTTCTCTATTAAGTAGAAAGTAACATTATCCCATTTACAGATGAGAAACATGACTCACAGACAAACCAAATGGCCTAACTGAAGACACTAGTGTCTGATGCAGAGCTCCACACTGCTCACCACTTCACCTCCCGTCTCTCTCTGCTGAAGCAAAGGCAGAGTGGGTGGAAAGCCCAAAGAAAATAGCATGCCTCTTTATCTTACACAGCTAGAATTTGTTAAAAAAAAAAAAAAAAAAAAAAAAACAACTATCCAGCAATCCAAAGTCTGCCTTCAAAAAACAACTATCCAGCAATCCAAAGTCTGCCTTCAATCAAAAAATAAAAATGAGATCTTTGAGACAAGAAATAGAGTAGTTCTAAAGGGTGACTGCTATCCTTGCACATACCTGGTTAGTATTCATGTATAAAATATTGAAGAAAAACTCATCATTCTTGTTTTGTGTTTATTTTTAAGAGAGTAAGAAAACTGGATAAGCTCTACTGACATCTATAAAATGAAACTAGTTGAAGGGAAAGACAAACAACTATAAGAAGCAGAACTAAGAACTCTAGCAGTAGAATTTTATGTCAATTTCCCATAAGCCAACAATATAAAAAAACCATCTCTATAGTTCAGTACAGAATAATAACTATGAAAGTGCTATGCTTCATCTAAAGGCAGGTATTTAATTCAAAGTTAGACAAAAGGGAAAAACACTCATGCTTAAGGGTATGACAGACACTCCAGAAGTACTGAGTAAGCTTTACTGAATGTGTGACACTTCTTCTTTGGTCCTCACTTTTAATTGTTCAGCAATATCATACAGGGTTTGTTAAAATATCTTTCATGCCTATGTTGGTAAAACGTAGGTCTCCTCTTCATCTTTTTGCATGATGCATCATTTTGCCTGATTAAATTAAATGCATAATATATATATATATATAATGAATTTTTATTTTTTGACTTTTCCTGAAGGCATATAAAGGTATTTTTCCTAAACTGTACCATTTAATTGTCATTCATAGCTTCATGCTTGAAGACTTGTTATAATCACAACATTTAATGTTCACCAATAATTAACAAAGACCACAAAAAGAGTATTCGAGGAATGTTTCCACTGTGTTTGGGCTGTTTCCCTGCAGCTGTGCCCACACTTTCACCCTCTGCTGGCCTGCACACTGACACAGCTATTCACTCACATACCGCTCCCTTCTACCAACCACTAGGGAAAACAGAACCGGGAGCAAAATTAATGTTTTCCAATTAAATTGTGTCTTAATGCTGGAATAGAAAATAAGATTGAATAAGCAAACACTCTTCTCACTCAGGCTCTCATTAGATTTAAAATTTTCTAGTCTTATATTACCATAACATATCAGAATTTTTTCCTTTGAATGAAAGAGACTGGTTGGTCTGCTTGTGTTTGGTAGCAACCAAAACAAGTAATTCAGGTCTACCGTTCATTTAAACCACCCAACTGGAACATTAGTTTTAATAGATGCCAAATATATCAGAGAGAGATAAAAGTGCTGTATAATTTTGCTAATCTTTACTTAACCATTAAGAATTAGGAAGATAATGAAATCATTCTTAACTTGAAAATCTTTTTTTTTAAAGAGTACCCAGAAATAGTTTCGAACTTACACAGCATATTATAGCATGCTAAAAATGTGGACTACTTATACAAATAAAATAGTCAATGAAAACCCTCACTGCATATATTTATTTCCTAATCTTTCTGAAATGCCATATAATTTTTCTTAAAATGATAATTGGTACATTTTAAACTTAATATGAATTGAGCATTAAGTCTTACCTGGAAATTTAAATAGCAATTTCCTCTATAAAAAAAAAAAAAAAGAGTTGGAGTTCAAATAATAATGACAAAATTGTATACTTACCAGCTTCTCAATTTCTGATTCAAGATTCTGTATACAGTCAAGTTTTCTCTTGCGACAGCGCTGTGCAGCGATTCTGTTTTTACTTCTTCTCCGGATGTCATGGATACAGTCCAGCTGCTCTGGGGTCAGCTTATGCATTTTCAACAAGGATTGAAAATCATTTCGAGAGAGTGAAATTATTCGTTGTGCATTAAAGGGCAGTTTTACCTAGAATGTGAAATAAATATTAGTGACCTACTGTATTTTGTTATTATACTTAAATCGTATCTGGGAAGATGAAGGTCCATTTTTCTAGAGTGCTTACTTTAGAGTTTAAAAACAATAGGTCTCTGTTCCCAATGTCTACACAATCCATTATAATAAAAACTAAAATTTTAATTGGTATTTTTAGCTGACTTGAGGGAGGACTCAAAAGACAAATTGAAAAGTTAGTATTTTTTCAGCAAATCAGACATATTAACACAAATATTACCATACTTTAAATGGAAAAATAGAATTTATTGTACTATGGATTTCTGTAAGTCCCTTTCTTATATACACATATATACATATACACACACGTGTATATATAATATATATGTATATTACACACACACACACACACACACACACACACATACACACATACATATATGGGGAAGGTACTGAGGATTGAACTCAGGGGCACTCAACCACTGAGCCACATTCCCAGCCCTATTTTGTATTTTATTTTGAAACAAAGTCTCATTGAGTTGCTTAGTGCCTCACAGTTGCTGAGGCTGGTTTTGAACTTGCGATACTCCTGCCTCAGTCTCCCAAGCCGCTGGGATTACAGGCATGCGCCACCACGCCTGGCCTCTAATATATTTTTAATAAGCTTCTCAACTCAAAATTAAATCTATTTTTTTGAGAGAGAGAGAGAGAAAAAAAATCTTTTTTGTAGATGGACACAACACAATGCCTTTATTTTTATGTGGTGCTGAGAATCAAATGCGGGTCCCGCCCGTGCTAGGCGAGCGCTCTACCGCTGAGCCAGAATCCCAGCCCCTATTTTTTAATACTACTATGTAACACTTATTTAATATTGGTATAATTATGCTAATAATTTCTATAAACTATTTCAAAAAATTTTTGTCTATCAAGAAAACAGTACCTTCATATAATGTACTTTAAAAGCTACACATTTCACTTGCCAATGAGAAAAAGTTAGAAAAAAAACTTTATGAATATTTTAAAGTCATTTTCAACCTACTTAAATTTGTCCAAAGAAAAAAACTTTTTCTTTTAAATAATACAGTTGTGAGTATCTAGTTAGATTACCAAAAGTACAAATGGAACATTAATCAGTTAGTATGGCCACCTACTTTCAAGCTTATAGATAGTAATAATACAAAAAGTTTTAAATTCTTAAGCCAGGCCCAGTGGTGCATGCCTGTAACCCTAGCTACTCAGGAAGCTAAGGCAGGAGGATCACCAGGTTCCAGGTCAGCCCAGGCCACTTAGCAAGACTCTGTCTCAAAATAAATTAAAAAGGGCTTAAGATGTCACTCAGAGGTAGAAAACTTCTGGGTTCAATTCCAGTAACAAACACAAACACACACACACACACAAAAAAAAAAAAATTTTAAAGATATAATTTGTAAAATTCTACCAAACTGTACTTCTAAATGCTGAATTTATAAATGTCCAAATCTACAAATATAACCCATGCACTTATAGTACTTCTTAAAACACCAAATCTACCTCCTTCCAAAGCCAATGAAGTAACAGTCTCTTTCAAACTTATATCATGTAATATATGCTACAAAACCAAAGAAAATGCTAAATAAAGGGATGTAGAGAAATTGAAACACTGTACAATGCTGGTGGGAAAATAGTGCAGCTGCTATGGAAAATGACATGAAAGTTTCTCAAAATTTGAAATGCAACTACCATACGAGCTTACTCCCAGATAGCTACCCAAATGAACTTGACTTAAAGGGATATTTGCAATTCCGTATTCATTGCAGCAATATTCACAATAATTAAGATATCAGAGCCGGGTGCTGTGGCATATGCCTGGAATCCCAGTGGCTCGGGAGGCTGAGGCAGGATAGGCACTAAGCAACTGAGTGAGACCCTGTCTCTAAATAAAATATAAAATAGGGCTGGGGATATGGCTCAGTGGTCAAGTGACCCTGATTTCAATCCTCAGTACTGTCCCTCCAAAAAGAAAAAAGATGTTAGAAACAATTTGATCATTCACGCACAGATGAACCTATAAAGAAACTGTAGTATGAATGCACACACTACTCACACAGATGGGAATACTGGGATACTATGCAGCCTTATATAAAAGGAAATTCTGCCATTTGTTACAATATGGATGAACCTGGAGGACATATGCTAGATAAAATAAGCCAAATGAAGAAAGCAGATCCCACAGGATCCCATCTATATGAGGTGTCAAAAATAGTCAAACTCATAGAAATAGCAGCATGATGGTTGCTGTGGATGAGAGCAGAAATGGGTAAGTTGCTGTTCCAAAGATAAAGTTCACAGATAAAGTCTCGGTTACAAAACATGCATAAATTCTAGAGGTCCTCCATACAACACTGTGCCTACAGTTAACAACACTGTGTGCACTTAAGTTTGTAATGAGCACATCACATATTATAAGATAAAAAGCGACAGAGAAAAATATAGTAAGATTAAAAATAATCTGTAAAATAAGTCCAGATTACAACTTTAAAGAGAAAATCCAGCTTTTGAAAATTAAACAAAATCCAATTTTAAATATTTTTTAAAAATAGGCCCTTACTGTAGTTATATTAATACTTTATGAAAAGCAACTATTAAGTCCAACTCTCTATATATACAGAGTACACAAATCAAGCTTGATATGATTAATATCAGACTAGCCATGTGTAACTCATTCTAAGTAATTACAGTTTTCATTAAACTAATAGACAAAAGGGCTAAAGGGAAAATAAGAAATAAAAAGTGATGGCCATGAAAAACTAGACCAAAGAAAACTTTACATTAGAAGCCACATTCTTAGAACTAGTCACTGCCAAACCACTGCTCAGAGAGCAGTATCAAGTGCAGAGGTCCTTATGGCAATAACACTGAATATGCAATGCATTTTCTAGGAGTTATGTCATGATCCTAGAATCATCATTCTCTTTCATCTTGAGACATGACATTATATAGCCAGTGTGAGGACTCAATCCGTGGTAAATAAACCTGCTTTAAATACATGCATGCAGTAGGCCTTCAAACTTTATCTTGTTCCTCTGCTGTTGACCATGGTCTCATTGTTACCAGTGTGACCCTCCTCTGCCCTCCCTGAGCCCACTTATACCCCTAGTAGTGCAATGCTGGCCAGCCCAGGGTAAATCCCAATCACTGGCTGCTAAACAATGATGAACCTGGAGGACATATGCTAGATAAAATAAGCCAAATGAAGAAAGCAGATCCCACAGGATCCCATCTATATGAGGTGTCAAAAATAGTCAAACTCATAGAAATAGCAGCATGATGGTTGCTGTGGCTAAGAGCAACAATGAATTAAGAACATATTTCTGCTCACCTCACACTCCTGTTCTCTGGCTGAACAGGATTCACTGTCGCCTTCTGTGTCAGTCTCAGAATCGTCACCCAAGCTGATTACGCAAGCGTAAGGACAAGGTTCTTGCTGGGGTTCTGAAATGTAACCATCGTTTCCAATTTCCAAATTGCTTGAACAGCCTTCGGTACTCAGAGTACTTATAAAAGGGCAGTTGACAGAACTCAATGTTGTAAAAGTCCTCTGAGCTGGTTCTGGGCTCTCACTGATCCTGATACCTAACCAAGGACACTCAGACCGCTTCTGGGAGTAGATTTGCTCTGAGCCATCCTTGGCTACAGCAGGTGATAACTGCATCTGGCAAGGAGAGTCAGTGCTGCAGATATCACTCCAGAAGCCTTTTGCTAGGTGCTCCGCCACCTCTCGCTCCACACTACTCCGATCACTAGATGCAATGCTACCATCATCCTTGGGGCCCGAGTCAGATTTCAAATGAACATCTTGACTTTCACCAAACGTTTTCTCTTCTTGAACACCTGTACCTGACAAGGGTTTCTCTGTTTTCACTGCTGTGGTCTGCATACCAGCAAAATTCAAGTCTCCATATTGGTCATATGTGTGTAAAAGAGACAAAGAATACAGTCCATGAGAATCTGTAGAAGAATTGTGGGGGAAAGAAGTCACTTCTGTTTTTTCTGCTGGGCACTGAGAAACAGGATCCTTTTTCTTCGTTTCTTCATGTTCCATTGCTAATTTGTTCTCTTCACATCTTAAAATCACCTGCAAATCTGCAGAGTCCTGGACTCCCCCGAGATACTCATTTTCGCATGTCTCATTTGGCTGAACAGGAGCAGCATGGACCTCTTTGACACTGGATTCCACAGTGCGGACTCTGTCCGTTCCAAATGCTTTCTGGAATTTTCTGTATTTGGGGCATAAAGAAGGCAGAGCCAGAGCAGCACCCTTCTCCAAGCACATGGATTCATACGTCTGACTGGCACTGTCTTGTACGGGAGGTGATGTTTTTACGTTTCCTTGATACCTTTGGAGTTTACACTGAGGAGTCTGAACATTTTTATTTTCCAGAAACTCCTCTACTTCATCAATTTCTAGGTCCTTCTGGTCCAAAAGTGAATATTTAAGGTTTGTTTTCTGACACTGTGATGAAAAGCATTTTTTTCTCAGGCATTCTTGCTGGTCTGCAGTGGGGTCCAAAAACTTAAATTTGAGAAACTGAAAACAGGATTCCTCAATATTGTGTACACTTAGAAATTCCACACACTTGCGCACTTCATCCACATTGTCTTTGCTTAAAATTAGCTTAGCAGTGTAGGCAAACTGAATTAAAGGTTCAAATCCTTTAACTGTCACCTGTTAATGTACAAAATAAAAATAAACACATCATTTGAAAGCTACCTAGTAGATTAAAAAAAGAAGAAGAAGTAGAGAGATGTATAACTTATTTGTGACAATTATGAAACAGAGACTTTTCATTTGGTAAGAGAAAATATTCTTCTAGAAAATGTAAAACTAAGGGAGGGTGAAAAAGTAGGAAAAGCAAGCTTCCTACCCCCTACTCACTGGGACCTGCACTTATAAATTCTACTCTTATCTGCACATCAATTATGATTTACTCATATGAAGAAAAGACCTAAGACACTACCACAATTCACTCACAAAGCAAAATTAAAACAAATCATCTATGAAATAAAGCAAGACAGACACCACCTGCAGCTCCCACAGTGAGCTGCCAAGTGCCTGTCACTAGCCCAGCTCCACAAAACCAACCAATCCCAACTACCATAATCTACAAAAGTGGATGTTTTAAGGATGAAAAAAACAATATACGTAAAGCACTTATAAAGAAGCCTTGACCCATGGCAAAGGCACAGTAAATAGTACCTACTGTCTTTATCTCATGCCCCAAATTCCTACTAATAAAATTTTAAGAGATTCCAATGTTAACAAGCGATCCAAGTGAAGTTCCGAAAGCCATGCCCCAACACTGTTTCAGCAAAGAATCATGGACACTAGGTAAAAAGTCTTTAAGCAGACTGTACATTTACACTGAACCTGCCCCTGCAAGGTGAGGGGCAGAGGGCCCTGCTGAAGCACACAGGAAGCTTTGTCCTGGGTTAAAAAAAAACAAATGAATTTGCAAACACTGAATTTCTACAAGGATCAAAATATTATTAACATTTATGACCTTTTTAAAAACATGCTAATCTCTGAAAACCTGATATTTAAATGGCTAAAATAAAAAGAGAGACACTACCAAATGCTAGTGAGATTGCAGAGAAACTGCAATCACTCACACATTGTAGGTGAGAATGTAAAATGGTACAGCCACTCTGAAAAACAATTAGTTCCTTATGTACCTAACCGTGTGACAACTACGTGACCAGTAGTTGCACTCCTGGTCTTTTGTCACTAAGAAATGAAAACTCATGTTCACAGAAAAACCCGTACAAATGTTCATAGCAACTTTATAGTCAAAAACTGAAATCAGCCTGATCTCCTCAATAGCCAAAAAAAAATTTTTTAAAAAGAAAAAAAAGTTTCATGCTGAGTCCACTTATGTAACATTTTTGAGATGACAAAACTTTAAAAGAGGAGGACAGATTACTCGTTGCTAGGGACAAGGGATGGAAGCGTGTTTAGAAGTGAGCAAGAGTAGGAAGGAAATGGGTGTGGTTACAAAAAGCAGCTCAGGTCCTCAGCGTGGGGACTGCTCAGTGTCTTAACGGTGGTGGTTGGATCACAAACATTCTCAGGGGAAAAACTGTACAGAATTTAATACACACAAAGAAATTAGCCCAAGTGATCTGCAGCAATCTGAATACCGTGAGAGATGTAACAACACCAATACCCTAGCTGTACCATTATACTTCAATTTTTCAAAACGTGACCACTGGGGACATTAGGCAAAAGTGTAAACAGAAACTCTGCATTATTTCTTTTACCTCTACATGAATTTACAATTATGCCCCCCAAATTTTTCTTTGATATTTTAAAAATAAGTTAAAATAACTCAAAGCCTCTAGAATAATACAATGATGTTTTCAATCTGTCACTATGATGAAACATTGAAAATATTTGAAAACATATATTCATTCATTCTAATTTAAAGGTAAATTATAATATACACATATGCGTGATTGTGTCTTTTCTCATAAACCCATAAATTAAATTTGCTCACTTGGAAAGTCTCATTAAATAACTGGAAAATATGAACCATAATAAGTATATCTCTATTCTGATTTGTATTGTTCCTTCTTAAAAAAAAAAAAATCAACTATTCTGTAGTTGACTTTTCTGTCTTCTCAGCATTGAACCCTTTAACCTCTGTCACTATAAAGATAGCCTATCATCTGACAAACTAGCCACAGTTCATGGAAGTATGCACAGCCAGCAACAAGCCATGCTGCAGACTTAGTTTACCGTTTGTCCCACGTATCCAACAGGGAACTTGCCACCCAGATCCGTCACACACAGGAAATTCTACACATCTTCTCCATATTCCTTACCTACCTCTACTTGTGTCCGAATGCCACAAACTTGACACTCTGCTAGTGAGAGTTACCAACTAAAGAGCAGCCTATTTGAGTCCCCTTTGAGTAACCAGTGTAACCAGCACTTGCTCCCCCAGAGAGAGGTTTCTTGGGGCCAGGACACTGACAAAGTCCCAAGTTATCTCTGAGCTTGAGTCCAAAACAGGCTGAGGCAAAGAATGTATGTAAAAATAGGGCTCAACAAGACAAAACACAGCCGATCCCCAGAAAGAAGAAAGGGGAGAGAAAGAACACTTGTGGAGTGCCTGCTGTCCATGGGGATGTTTTGGGAAAAGGGATGATTTACAGAACTCTAAACCTAGACACAGGTGTCTATCATGGAAAAGGTCTATAGGGAGAGGAAGTCACACAGTCTGGCCTCTCCAAGCCATGACCTTTACAATGTCTATAACATTGGGTGTGCCCTGAGTTAGTGACTTTGTCAAAATAACAAGAGTGGGTCAATTTTTCCACTGCTCAATAAACATTAACACCCCAAATTAATAATTTTATAATGTAAATGTAATAATAATGTCTATGAAAAAAGCCAAAGGAATGAGTTGCTGCAGGAACCTGGGACTGCTCCTCAGCCACCTGACCAGGAGGCTGCACTTTACTATTAGCTTTATGAACCACAATGTGTTTAAGAAAATTAAATTAAAATCACTAGAAACATGGCCCCTCACCTCTTCTGGTAGAGTAATGTTAAGCTCCGCGTCAGCCTGGCCTACGATTCTGGCGTGGAAGTAACTGCTGCATGCCGCCAGCACTGACCGGTGGGCGCGGAACCGTTGGCCCTCCACAAGGACAGTGACATCGCACAGCACGTCCTTCTTCCGCTGGTCGTTGAGGCTGAGCAAGACGTTGGTGCTGTGCACCGAAGACTCGTAGGCAAACACCGGGTTCTCACGCAGAGACATCCTGCACAGCCAGTGGAGCCAGGCGCGCAGGGGAGAGCATGCTTCTAACTGTCCTCCACCTGCAAGCACACGCCAGAGTTCACCTGGTGAGATCTTGTTTAGAACTTTCTGAGGAACAACTAAGGGTCTTCTCAATTAAAATACAGAAGCCTCCAGAGGAACAAAACAGAAGATTCATCTAATATACCTCAAATTAGGTATGGTAAGTTTTTCTAATTTAAGGGAAAAGGTTCTTGGAGACAGGGAGGGAGAACTTTTTGAACCAAGGATTCCTTGGTTCTCTGAAAATGAATTACTGTGGGCAAATAGATGGGGCTGGGAAATTTTGGGGTGGCATCCCAACCCTGTTGCTTTAGGACAGTTGGTAGGTGTGGCAGGGAGGCCGTGGGAGGGTCACACTTTAGGAACACTTGGGTGGAACAGGCATTCCCCATGCCCCACCCGGCTACACCTGAGAGATGACAGGAGAGCTTAGTGCTTTATATCAAGGGACACCTTGGTACCCAACGTAAAACTTTCTCCAACACCAGAAGAAAATGGCTCACATTTGCCAGGCTGCATCTTGGTAAACAGTCTTTTTATACAGCAAGTCTTACTTTATACTAGAAAAGACAGGCTACAAGAAATCTGTGATGCATCACAGGTAGAAACTCATCAAAATGTTAAAATATTAACAGAAATTATCAAACATGTATATTTGGGGGGGGGGGGCTGGGATTGTGGCTCAGCGGTAGAGCACTTGCCTAGCACATGTGAGGCCCCAGGTTCGATCCTCAGCACCACATAAAAATAAATAAAATAAAGATATCGTGTCCAACTACAACTAAAAAATAACTATTTTTAAAAAATGTATATTTTTAAAAAATATATACTAACATGTAGTAGCCTCCAAATATTTCTTGATCACATACACAAAACTGGGGTTAGGGGGTACTCCTAAACATATATGCTTATCCGTGTATTTCAGACATGTTTGAGTATTGTGACATATACACTCTAAACATATAAAAATTGAAAGAGATTAAAAGGGAATATCTGATCTGTTCTTCCGGTCCCCATACTTGTGGAGAGCACCCAGGTGTGTGGACCCCACTGTGGCAATCAGACAGATGGAAGCCCACAAGCTCCTCACATGCACCACTCCTTTCTCTTCTGATGACATCTCACTGAAAACAAGCCCCTCTAATGAGAAGTGAATGAGAAAATGTTTTTGTTTTCAGATTTGCTGTACTGAAAACAAAAATGAAAGGAGATAGAAGGAAGTTCTGCTGAAGTTCAGACAGACCAGTCCCCGATCATGGGTGGATGCCATCTCAGAAACAGCTTGTTTTAGCTGCAAACACATGAAATACATCCATAAATTCTCTTGTACTGAGTGTTTATTTTTAAAGTCCTCATTATGGCTGAAACGTCAGTCTCCTGTAGTGGTACTCTATGAAAATAAAAGCTTTCCTTTTGTGGTTAGACTTCACCTAAGGTTAAGGACCATGGCATATCATTTACTGATTCAGCACAACACATGAAATCTTTGGTAACTTCAAAATTAAACAGGAGAACTGATTCAACTGTTGGGTTCTGCCCTTAGTAAAGAGTAAAAGTTCCTTTTAGTAACTGTTCTTCATACTTCAGTTATCAACACAAGGAATTAGTGTTAGGAATAGTAAGGAGGAACCATCACTCAAGGAAATGATGTGTCCTCTCGTGGGTGATACAAGGGCCACTGTCCTCCTCCTTGCCCAGCACACACAGGCCTCTCCAGGCCAGTTGGATTCAGCTGACTACTACCCTACTAGGTCCTTGCACCCAAGTTCCCAGCTTTCTTATTCTCTTCCGCCACTTGGTTTGTATGTAGACTTTTAAAGGTATCCTATCTTATGTTTATAGTTTATCACACACAGCACAGCAAGGAAAACCTGTAAAATCAGACAGACAGGGGTCACTATGAATTAAGGGTGTTCAATCTCGGTCCTGTTCACTTACTTTGCATGTCCCCATCTCCGTTCTCCATAATAGCTTTCCAACTTGCCATCCCATTCCTCTATCAGTCTCTCTTTCAGTGCACTACCACAACTGGAATCCAAACTCAGAATACCTCTCCCACCACCTCCACCTAGTTCCTCCTTCTGTTGAAGACAATCATGAATGTCTTCTCCTAACCCCTTACCACATTTGCTTCTCTGAGATCTAATCCTACATACCTTTTCCCAGACATACCCAATCTCTTCCTCTATGTTGGCTTCTTCCCAGTTTTTTGTTTTTCATAAAAATGTTTATATCTCTCCAGTCTGTCCTACCAACTATTAATGCTCTAATTCTGCACCCAGCCCTGAGCTAAATACCAGATGTTGTTTATCTCGCTGACTCCTCACAACTACCCCACATAACACTTTTCTACCCCAATTTTACAGAAGAATAAGAATATCTTGGCCAATATCAAAAGACCAGTAGGAGAAAGGGAATTCACACCAAGCATTTTTACCTACTTCACTCTTCTATTTCCTGTTAGTATTTGCTAAATGCAGCCATATGGGGAGCTGGATACTTCTACAAGATTATGCTTGAGAATAAGGAAACCAGCCCACAGAAAGGCAGAAACAAAATAAACTAGACCTGAGCTTTAGAAAGAGAAAACTCTGAGCCTTGGAACCCAGAACCTAAAGGTTCTCTGGATGACTCCAGAGTCACCACCACTTCAAGGTGACTCCAGCAAAAGCAATTCCCGTGCCTTCTTTCTTGAGCTGCCATTTGCACAGCCCCTGTGCACCTGTGGCCCCCAACTCCCCATCCTGCCACCAGCTGGCTCACTATTTACCTAGACTCCAGCAGAATCATGCCCAGCTCAGGCAGATTTTCTAAGAGATCACCCCATGGGTTCACAGCCCACTTACAGTCTGGCTGCCCTCAGACAGGGTACCAACCCCAAGTCCTACGCCCGCTCTAAGAAGGGGCCATCTTTCTTTAAGTGGACTGAGTGCAGCACATACCAGGATAGATGCTGCTCACACCAGAAACCTGGGACTCACTCCTGACACCTCCCTCTGTCAGGCTCGCGATCTAAATGCTCACCAAGTCCTGCTGCCTCTGCCTTTTAACACTGAGGTTCATTTCTTCCCCTCGGCACTGCCCATTCTAACCTAAGCCATCATCAGCTCTTGCCTGGACAGTGCTGTTTAACTTTTGGCAATGGTACATAAGGTCATGCATGTACAAATAAGGTCATATAAAAATAAAACAAAAATTTCACATATCAATATTTTATCCTCGCCACACACAAAGTACTCTGTGTTATTTTCTACTCTATGGGAACAAAAAAAAAGTCACCGTATGATCTACTCAATTTCAAGACCCACTAATGGACCATCACTCCACGTACTGAAACACAGGCCCAGTGGCTAACAGCTTAGGGCTTGGAATTTTATGAGTTCAAATCCCAATTCTGCCACTTACTAGCTAAATGGCCTTGGCTAAATTGCTCAATCTTGTTGTGTCCTAGTTCCCTCTTAGAACAGGGATGATAATACCACCTCACTGGGATGGGGGTGACATTTCCATGAGGTGATGAAGAAAACAGTTTAGCACAATGCCTGGCCCGCAGCAAGCAAATAATAAATATGAGCTGATGTTTATCATGATGACATTAACGAAAGCCTTACACCCGCTAGGTCCCCTCCAATTCACTTTCTCCCTATCAGAGTGATTTCTTCCCTCCCACAAACCCCCCCCCCCCAAGCATCTTCAAAATTTGTTAAAAGCACTTCAAAATCCTTAACATGTGCTTCAGACCTCCATGTCAGGTTTTCCATCTATTAATCCAGCCTCATCTCAAGCTGCTGTCACCTCCAGGCCCACTGTTCCTGCCTTCCTGCCACACTGGCTCCAAGCTCCAACTAATCTCAGGACCTGCACAAATGCCTGCTGAATGAACTTCAGCTGCCTGACTCCTCACCTTTTAGGTCTCAGCTTAAATGTCACAAATCTTGTCTGACTGTTCTCTGCCAGACCCCAAGCATGTAACAAAGTACCTGGTCCAATATCAGTACTTGCTTCTGAATGAGTTACTTGGCATCTTTAATACAAATCCAAAACTCAGATTATCTAGATCACCTTCCAAACACAGTCCAGTCAGCTGTTCCAAAATAAATGGAATGTCACTGAGCCAAGCACGCACAAAGTTCTTAGATGGCTTTTCCAGAACCACGAAAGGCAAACAGAGCCAGGCTCAGTACTCTGGGAGCTACAAACATACCTGCAGACGACTGGCCAAAGAAAAGCACGGGTTGCAACTATAAACTCAGCCAATACAAATGACCTGCATGAATGAAGACGCCTTGCTCACTGCTCTCAGCAGCAGTGGGCACTACATAAAGGCGCTCTGGAAACTAAATCTTTCTAATTTTGAAAGCTAAGGGGTCAGTAATCCATTTTTCCCCAATAATTCAACTATATACTGACTGTACCAAATAATAGCACAACTCCTTCCAACTTCTCTTATTCACGTATTTTTTGTGGTGCTAGGGATTGAACCCAGGGCTTTGTGCGTGCAAGGCAAAACTGAGCTATATCCACAGCCCTCACTTCTTCCAACTTCAATCAGACTAGCATTTTTCATACCTGAAAAGTAAAATATAACACTCGAGCCTTTCACATCTAAACTTTTATTATTATTAAAAACAAATTTAGAGTCCCATATTACACCTGAATTTTCGTATATTCTTGGAAATATATACTATTATTTTAAGTCAAAATAAGGTTTAATGACCTTAGCAAAATGCTGAGTCACTGGCTAATGCTGATAAAGGATGAATAAGCAATTTGAAGCTTCCTGTACCTCAACTTGCAACAACTTCTGCCAAGTTAAGTTTTAATACAGTTACTATTTACAAGCCAAGTTAAGTTTTAATACAGTTACCATTTACAAGCCAAGTTAAGTTTTAATACAGTTACCATTTGGTATTTCTGCTTTCAAAATAATACATAAAATAAAAGAAAATGCTATGACTTTACCATATCTTAATCATGTTATAGAAAATAAAATGCTGTGGTAAATGTGAGATTATGG